GATTTCACTAATTTTAAGCTATTCCAGTGAAAGTCTAATGCTTGGAAAATTTGTTTTGCATATTGTTGACTGAATCTGTGCTTTCATGTTAGGAAATTTTTGTCTTTTATTACAAACTATTTCACTGAATTATTTTATGTTTTGGAATTATTTTCAAAAACGACGCCGTTCATTTGTTAAAAGTCAACGATTCTCTGTAGAATTTGTGTCTTAAAGAGTTACTTAACATTAAAACCGCTTTCTAAATGCACTATTTGTTAAATTTTTGATAGCAAGCCGATAAACCGGAAATTAAAATAACATGTAGAGGCGGGAAGTTCGCAGAAAATAGTTAGATAATCAGCTGGAATTCTGAGCAGATCTTCCGACAATTTTTTTTTCTCTACAGACTCCGACAACACTTGCACAAGGTAAAAGCGCTCTTCGAAACATAAAACTAGTTTTCTTTTATTTTCTTCTGTTCTCTTTCGACCGTCTGTTGCTGAGATATTTCTAAGCAATTACAATTTAAACACATTCTACAGTAATTGTATTTAACATTGTACAATAACCCTTCCGAAATGACGTCATTATTGTGGTTGTACTTAGCACAATGTTTCAATTATTATATCAGCCAGATTTTCTCAGCTGTCTGTCATACACGATTACCTCCTGAGAATATTGGATAGAATCCTTTATATTGTTCAGAGGCGAGCTATACTATTTTCATTTTTTTTTTGTCACCGATAGCCGCATTGTCACTTTGCGTGTTACCTTTCTGCCTCCTCCACTGGCTTATATTTTTGCACGAGAATATGAACACCCGGTTTGAAAAACAAAAATGAATAACTAAATACATAAATAAAGAGACAAATGCTTGTATACATAACGCCGCCATCTTAGACGTGTAAAATATAATAAAAATGAGAATAAAGCATTCTCTGGAAGTTATCTTGTACAGCTGACACCTGAAGAAAACTTGCATGGAGATTGAAACGTTCTGATAAAAACAACCAAAATGATGAAACAGCATCCAAACGAACCATCCATATTGTTTTCATTGAACCATGTCGATGTTGACAGTCGTGGTAGCAGATTTGTTAATATTAACTTGGGTAGATATAGGATATCAGTTAAAAATGTGGCGGAAATTGCAGGGCAGACTGGGTTCTCTAACCTTGGGTGGCAACCACTCTAGGGGAAGGACAACTCACTCCAAAACCAGCTTGAAGTGGGACGGGCTCTGTCAACGGGAATCGAAATTCGGCTCTCCGATTAACAATTACGAGCCATTGTCCATTACACTACCCGCATATACAAGCTTAAAGAACTGGTATTCCCTAGCGGTCATTCACTGACCAGGTTCAACGTTGCTTAACTTCGGTGATCATACGGGGTCCTGTGTTTCAACGTGATATGGCCGTAAGCATACTAAGCGTGTGTATGTATACACAGGCACTTGCTCTCATACACAAAATATATATCAAAAGCCTTTTTTTTATTTAGTAGGCTCTTTATTCTTTTTAAACTTATGTAATGCTCTTCTTATTTTTCGATGATCCGAACTCTTTTAATTTTTAATAGCATTGGTGGCCAATCTATTGTTTTTGTTCTAATCAGCAACTGGTGTTCGTCCACGTCTGGCTTTTATCTCAAAGGACGAGTCATCACAATTGAAACGATTAAACCAGTGTTAGCCAACACGGTCAGATATTCTTACATTTTATTCCATTGCTAGAATTCTGCCATACGTTGGGGCTAAATTTTAAATAATTCTTCTGTGCTCTGTGGATCAGCTTAAAATATTTTTTGCTATGCATTGAGGCCCAGTTTCAAATAATACTTTCGTGTTCTGTTTATCAGTTTAAAATAATTTTGCCATGCTTTGAGGCCCAGTTTTAAAATAATTCTATCATCCTTTGAGGCCTAATTTAAAACAATTCTTCCATGCTTTTAGGTATCAGTTTAAAATACGTTTGGCATGCTTTGAGGCCTAATTTAAAATAATTTTTTTATGCCTTGAGGCCCAATTTAAAATAATTCTTTTATGCTTTGAGGCTCAGTTTAAAATAATACCCCCAAACCTCAGTATTTCTATTCGCCTTTATAACACCTGAAACAAAAGCCCCGTGTCTTCCCAAATGAGCAATAGTGGGAGGAAAAAGATCATTCTGGCCTTCAGTAACGGTACCAACATTCATACTCTTGCTTCTATCTTCAAAGTCCATTCAAGAGCCATCAAGAGAATGGTGAATAAGTTTTAAAAAGCGTGAACAGTAGAGAGGAAAACTGGATCAGGAGGTCACAACAGAAAGAGGGATCATCATTTCAACTTAGGGCTAAACAGATCATTTAGAAAAGATCCAACTCAATCCATGAGACGTTTGGCACATGGGAGATGAGTTTCAGCTATGGTAGTCTAAAGAGCAGTGAAAAGGACTTGAAAATGTAATCGTACGTGAAAACTATGAAGCACCTTGTTGCTCCAGGACAGAAAATTAGAAGGTTAGAAAGGGCGAAG